AGGTTATATCGTAAAGCGAAGGTAGCCATTATCCTATTCACTTTATGGTTCTTTGGGAATCTCTTCCTCATGGTTAATTATTATCAGGGCTCGATATATTCATGCCTTGCTGTCCTATACCCGCCTCGAACTCCTGGTGGAGTTGATGAACTTCTCGACTTAGATATTCAAGTAGTAGCTATGGATACTTATACTATGAATAGCTCTAGAAAAACTTATCTTCGCGATTTCGTTGTTAATCAATTAATATTAAGTGTTAATAAACACTCCCCGTTCACTAAGTTCTTAACTAAATTTAAAGCAAAGCTATTATCAATTAAAGATAAGGGCATATATCAAATGTGGTATAAAGTTGTAGCCGAAAATTCAACACGTACTCATCCTATGCTAGTATTATTCCTCTTTAGAGATCGGTTCGAAAAGTATGTAAGGCATATTAACTACTTAGGAAATCGTCACATTGTCAAGAGTAGTAGTGATTCGCCATTTCGGGTTGTAGTATTCAGGAGCGGGCAGCGAACTTTGTTCATCCCTTACCTTGCGAAAGGATTGGGACGGATGCAAGAGTCCGGGTTGACGCAGAGATGGATCAATTTGAATCCCATCCTTGAAATGTTGGAGTATAAAGAAAAATTATTGGCACGAGGTAAATATTTCGAAACCGTGCAAAAAATTTTAGGGACTGCCAGGGAACCAATCGTATTTCACGAATCGACAGCAGTTTCTCTTGCTTTAATTCTACCGTCATTTTACATTTGTGCAATTGTTATCTCGTTTGGGGTGGGTGGACTTGCGGCGGAAAATTGGAAATTTTTGGTGCAATGGGGTGAAATTTTGGCAAAGGTTGTGGAAAATTGGGTCTATACAACGCGTAAATTTATGGGGATTTGGGTACTACTTAATATGAATAAAGTGAGAATGGGAACAAAATTATGTCCGATTCACAAGTTTGTTAGAAAAAGCAAAACTGAGAGGTTTGGCAAAAATTCTAGTGCTGCATCAATTTAATAAGATTATTTAGAACGTTGTGGCTAGATAAATTAAACTGACGAATGTTCCGTAAAAATTTTGTGCTACGAGATTTTTGCACGAAAATAAAATAAATAAAAACGAAAATAAATAAAAATCATGTTACCCTTTTGAAAGGTAAATATTTCCTCTTGATTGTAACCATACTAAAACCAACATTTTGACGACCTGTCTTTGTAGTAGTCTCGGGTCGACATGGATTTTGTTCATTATTTACTCTCCATCATCTCGGGTCGACATGGATTTTGTTCATTATTTACTCTCCATCATCTCGGGTCGACATTGATTTCAGAACAGTGATTGAAATTCATGCATTGACTAGGAATTCTTGGTAAGGAATCTTTTTAGTTCCTCAAATTGTCTGGTTTTGGCAGACAGGTATTGATTTCGCGGTGTTATACATATGTATGTTTTACCGTTTCGTATGTATTAGTCACACAGACATGTAAAAAATTGAATTTTTTTAGAAATGTTAAAATATTTACATTTACACACGTACACGTGTATATTATTGTATCGATGGAATACGGATAAAGAAATATGTATTTATAGATATGAATTTAAATGTAAATATGTACATATCAGTGCAACAATTATGAGTTGGACACATACTGTATACATATTTACATACAAACTTATCTGATTTGGAGAAGCAATGTCGATTTTATTAGGCATAATTCATGCAAATACTAAATTCGTAAATATTTGTGACTACTCAGCATTTCCCCAATTAAATACGTATCTAGAATTATTATGCTGAATATCTTATCTATAGAACTATTCATGTGTATATGTAAGCTATTCATAATAGCATATACATTTTTTAGGACTTAAGTATGTATTTACGTATTTCTTACAATAAAAATTAACGAATCCTTGAGACAAGAATTTCTTAAGGCATACATAAGTAACTAATAAACTAGAATATGCATGAGCCAAATCTAAGCATTTTGAAAGAACCTTAATTTATTACCTTGTTATGGCTACCTTAATTTATGGTAAAGCCCGTTCCACTAAGGAACTCTAAGTTAGAAGTCCCTTAGAGAACAACTCTTATTCGTACCACTTATGTATGTATATGGCTTACCTTACATAGATTTACATGAATCAAAGTAGAGAAATTCAGCGCAAAATTTACATGCTAATGAGGTACACCAAAAAGGAGTGGCACCCCTATAGTTAAGCCCATTAAAGTCTAAATAATCTAATTATTTACTTAGATCGTTAAGCCTTAATTCTCAAGCCTGCACGCGTCCGGTTTAATTTTTCAAAAATATCTTAATCTCAAATCAGACATCACATTTGGCTTGGGAGGGAATTACGTTCGTTAAAAATATCTCCACGTCTAAGTTTACCTTCTATTTTTCTTTAAAAATATGCCAACCCCTCTAATTTTCTACGCTATCGACCAAAGTTTCCGCTTTAACAGGCGTTACCTTTGGCAAACTCCGATCGGTTGGGATGGCAAAACGGATCGGATGACGTACGATAAGGCCCCTCACTTGAAATATTTCTGGTGGTATTTCTGCGTATTTGGGTGCGTCTACAGTGCAATGGGGGCATCATCTGTTTACATCATTTATTGGCAAATCTACGCCCCACGGAAGGAGCTAAATATTTCGCACAGCATTCAGTTCGCCTTGCAAATTGGGGCGGGCTCGTTAGCAGCAGGGATTGCACTGGTGGTGATGGCATATGGGCAACATGCCGTCCAAATAGTCAATGGAATACTGGATTTTCATGAAAAGATGAAAATCTATGAGATCCCGGGTATGTAAAATTGGAAAATTTTTGAATATTAGAAATTGTGTAAGATGGGACATGTTTTTTTCGTTTAGAAGAACGAATTCGAGTTGTGGATGGCCGAGAGAATCAGTTGTTGGATTTTGTGGACAGGGCACTTCGGAAAGCGAGAATTCCAAGTATATTCTTGCCCGATGGCGGTCTGGATTTGGCAGGTATCGTGGTATAAGGGACGATATGGTTTCTTAAATACAGGGAGATTGCGATTTAAAGATATTCATACTGAATTCTCACGTATCAAAGATTTTAATTGGCGCGAGTTATGACGTTAGCGATTTGGTGTAAATCTAGTGCAAAACCCATAAATTTGCAATCTCCCAATAACATTAATTTTATTTGCCGCAGGGATAACCTTACTCGTCTCGCTGATCGCGTTACCCATCGTATGCCTGCTTTCGATCCCAACTACTGTGTTCTACTTCAAGATTGATGTTTACCGATTCCCACTGGAGGACATGTGGTCATATTTGAACATCGATTACAGCTCTAACCCCGTCCTGCTTTTGGTGCACACCTTTCTCCGCGTCTTGATTACGTCCATTGCCTATCTGGAATCTCAACGTATATTTCCGTTTCTGATGTATTTCTACGCATTATCTGGGAAGCTGGTGATCATCAATATACGAATATTTGCAGAATACGCGGAGCAAATTAGGTTTGAAGCAGAGTTGACAAAGATTAAAGTTTTTTGAAATGCATTCTATCAGTTTAAATTTAATATTCGAGCCGATCCGATCCTGTTTTTATATAAAAACAAAACACCTGGGTTATCCCAAAAAAACGATATCCGACTCATACTCGCCGTTTTACAAAGAATCGTTAAAAACTGATTTTTTGTGTACTAACTAACCTAACAAATAAAATATAAATTACAATAAATGTAAATTAATAATTCTAATTAGTCATCCGTTGTTTTTAGGAAGGGCGATGTACACCTAACCCCGAATTGGATCACTTTATACACACATCTCTCCATCCTCGTGTCTCAACCAGAAAAACAGATGGCTACGCAAACATTCATCTTGATGTCGAGCGGACTCTTTTTCTGCGCCGCGCTGAACTTTGCGACAATTCGATTTCTCGACTTTGGAATTCCGCCCCTGTACTACGCCGTATTTCCCTTCTTCGGAACTCTGCTCATCCTGATAATTCTATCCCTGCTGCCCGTGGCTATTGATGTGTACGAAAATTCGGAGAACATCCTCAAAATCTGGACCCATTCGATACCCGGGGGACGCAAGGAGAATGGTTGGATGCGAAAGAAACTCAAGCCGACGAGACCCCTCCGGGTTTACGCAGGCATTGCGGGATTCTACTTTTACAAACTGAATGCATCCGTTTTGACGACGTTCTGTATTTCGATCCAGGACTGGACGCTTAATTTCTTAATGACCTTCCACCCTTCGGCGGAGGAAATCAATGCATTAGTGAATGGCTTGTAGGTTTTTTATGTTTTTCATATAATTTATTTTTCCTTTGTAATGCATAGTTGTATACATGTTCACTTTCATTCATTTGACTGATTATGATTCCGGAAGGTAGCGAATGATAATGAATTTCCTATCATTGTAGAGAAAATCGATGAAGGGTTCAGTCATTTCAGATGAATTGCTGAATGCAATTATTTTTCACTTCTTTCGTAATTAATGAATGAATGAAAAGATGTCCTCAACTCAAACTAATGTGCGGTGAGTTATCCTCACCTCACCGGCAAAAATAGAGGAGAAATTAGGTAGCTTTTTGGAGGAATTTCAAATAGGTTTGTATTTAATTGTATCCCAGCTCCATAAGTAGTTTCTCCATCTTGAATTTGATCCCTCTGAATTCCTAGAACAGATGCCTGTCATTGGTACCTGGATGAAGGGATATCCATTAATTATCACGCAAAAATCGCAAAATTATCAAACTTGCTAAGTCCGGATGGAGTACCAATACATATGTTGCTTATTCATGTGCATGAGTATGTAATGACAATTTGTGCGTATAGGAAATATATTTGAGTAATTTAATGCATATACATACACGACTATGTATTTAAGATTCAACAAAAACATTGGATTTGAAAAACCTTGGATATAATGGATGTGTGTTTTGCAAATTTTGTTTCGCTTAGAAAATTGGATTACAAGTGATGACAATAAATAATTGCGATAAGTATGAGCACTTAATAAAATCATCATAAATAGTTCATTCATGTATTTCTGTTTAAGCCAAATAAGAATTGACAGAATGAATGATCATGTTAAATAAGCTGCAATAATTATCCATGCGCACGGGTAGAAAGTCCTTCATCTAGTCACCATCACGTAGAACCAGGGAACCGCATTTCCATCAATGCTCATTCGCTAAAATTAAACAAATACATGTATCTAAAAACACTCTTAAAAGTAGTTTTATCATTAAAAAATAAATGCACGCTACATTTTATGTAAATTCTATCAAATCCAGAATAACCTTAACTAGAGCCTCAGGGTTTAGGATTTAGTTAATGTAAAATTGTATTTCTATACTTTCAAAAGGGTGTCATTGCTTTTAAGAGTGTGCATATTGATTAAAGTAGAAGCACAGGTATTTTGTTCTCATTGATGTGTCTTCAATCTATATAATATGTAAATTACTCACAATTTCCACCTGTTCCTTGTGCGCGTAGAACGAAATCGGTTTTCCGTTATAAATCCTTCTTATGACAAGGATTTCATTTGATTGGGAAGAAATTGCAGTCTGGACCAGCTCATTTTCTCCATTTAGGATAAAAGTGGTCTACAAAAATATAAATGCAAATGCGGAAATGAGTATTTCATTTTCACAACTCTGGATTTAGTGCTATCAACACCTCGGTAATAAAGTTCTACCATACATATCAAGATAGCAAATTTTTTCCGACTCTAATAATTTTAATCCGAAGTTGTAGCATGTACACATATGTATCTGCATAATACCGAATACATAACTACGTGCAAGACATACATAATCATTTCAAAAGTATAAATGTACAGATAAACAACAAACTGACAATGGAGGCCTCCCAACGTATGCTCACATATGTTGTGACACAAACTAGCATCAATCGATCATAAATATAACTAGTATGAAATTTGCAAATGGCAGTATCTACCAATTCTCAAGTTTAGCGGAGATATTTGCATAAAAAGAGCAGAAAAATGCACTCAACGCTGGCAAATTTGTTATTTTTCAAATTTGCTGCGCATTTTTCCCGCTTTTTATGCAAATATCTCCACTAAACTTGGCAGATAGTTCCATTTGGAAATTTCATATTAATTATATTTGTGATCGATTCACGCTAGTTTGGTCCAAAGCTGTAAGCATACGTTGAGAGACCTGCATTATGAGCTACATTAATGCTTGCTCAATCCGAGGTTGAATTTGTTCATACGCAAAGTACATACGTTTCTAAACATATGTAATTGGCCATGGTGTGATGGTTATGGGTTTTCATGGTCACACATAAAAAACCATTTAGCACGTAAATAAATACGTATGTGTGTATGTATGTTTGTACAAGGGATGTACATATTTACTGGGAATGATGAGGTCATACTTCTTTCGTGGAAAAGAATCCTATTGGACAAAAATTGCGATTATGTAAGGTTCACGAACCCAAATTTCATTGTCAAGGAAACCTCATAGCCGGTACATACAGGGTGGTTTAAATGACACTCTATGTATAATAGAAAATTGTGCAAAGGGAAAAGCCCTACATAAATCTCGATTAATTACAAGACTTGGGATTGAGATTTTTAAAAATTATTATCAATATACCAAGAAATCAAAACCTGTCTTACTATACCATATTTCTAAGAGTGTGAACATTTGTATTTGCTTAAAATAATAAGAACCAGCAGATATGTATGTATGTATGTACCTTAAAAGTCCCAAGTTCCGGAATAGTTTGTTCAAATTCTTCACCCAGAGTAAATTCCAGACAGCGATTCATAAAGGTCGGATTAAGCGATAGCTTGTACCTTCCCTCCTCAGAAACTTGGGTAATTGTAGTGTCACCCATGTTGAAGTGGAGGTACGGATGTAAATTCATGGCTTAAAGTGAAAAAAAATTGAACACTTTACAAGTTTTTTTTTCTCGAATACATAGTGATAAATTTTTAAAAAAACATATTTTTATGAGAAAAATTATAAGTTCAACGTACGTCCTTCCGGTAATCGAGCAATCACTTTAAACGCTCCTGTAAAGTTTAGACCCATGTTATAACTGTTTGGACACTTCGTGAAAACGAATTTCTTGAATATTGGCGAAGTTTATGCGAATCTTTCCTGAATTAATTTATTGATGAGTGATAAATGGTATGATTCATAACTTGTGAAGATGTGGGGTTGTTTGGTGGAGAGATGGATGGGGAATGGCTACATACTAATTTTCTGTCTACTGCTACATAAATACTTACGTATGTACATAATACAGGGATGTGTTAACATAACATGTTAACAAATCCTCAACATATTATGTGCGTCACTCTTTTTCATTTATTGACTTGCAAACAATCGCATTGTATGTAAATATTCTGTCCTGACATATGACCGTCAAGTAAAATAATATGGGAGCGTATGCATGTAAGATTGTGTTAACGTTGAATTTACATATCGGTTAATGTACACTCTAAATAATTTGGAGACGAATCGCTACCCGCGGTGTGCTCTGTTTTTGGGTATTGCATATATATTTCAGTACCCGAATTATTTTCAGCGGATGGATGTACACTTTTTTAAGTATCTGGCTAATAAAACGAAATTGGTTCAATGCCTGAAACATGCATATGTACATACATGTAATTCTGAGTTTTACAACTGAAAGGATTGTTCTAGTTTATTTTTTTAAATACGAAACTGCCCTCAATAAACATGCATGTAATAAATGTCTTTTATTGAAAAGCAATGGTTTAAACTACATGTATAGTTTAAACCATAGTTTGGCGGAGGGAAAGTTTACGACAATTAAAGTATTTACCTCGTATTCAGGGAATAATTTTGCACCAATTATTGACATACTTAAATCTTGGGATAAGCGACGTGATACATTCATACATATGTATGTATGTACATATTTAATTCAAAGTTTGGCTAAATAAACTTTTGGGAAATTAGAAATATCCGTTTCCCAAATGTGTCGAATATGTACATACTTATTTTAATGACGTTTCCGGCGTATTTATAAATAAGTATACATACATGAACCACTAAAGCTTTTGTTTACATGTAGCCCAGACATATCTGCAAATATCGCTTCAACAATGTTGAGTTTTATCAATTATCTCAACATCTTTACCCACTGTTACTTAGAACTCGTAAAGTTTAGCGATATTCATCAAGGTCCACAGGAATTTTTTCATGTCCCTGTGATAAGGACGAACATAATTAACATGACCAAAATATCATTTCAGGCAAAATCTGTACTAACAAGGAGCCAAAATAAAAATTTACATTACGCCAAAGTAATTAATTTAGGCGGCATTAATCCAGTCAATATAAACCATTATCAACACTCGGGGACAAATATAAACAAAAAGATTCCAAGTTTTATCATTCTTGTCGATCTCACAGGATCATGGAGTTTCAAATCGAACATCCTGATTCAAATCAGGCAAATCATACAAATTTGTTCATCCATTTTCCTCCAAATTCGCCATGGTTTTATAAAAACTTCATACCTAGTAAGATCATTAAAATTGGTAGAGTTATGTAGGGTAGATACATGTACCGAAATATTACCGATACTCGATTTCCGAATGGAAATGTGGGAAAGGAATGGAGAAAATCGGGGAATTGTTGCCATTCATTCATTCGAAATGGAGCAAGGCCTTCACAGAATGACGAAACATTTCTACGAAAAGGTTAAAGACTTTTGTACAGATTCAGAGGTCGCATACCATAAGGAATTACATACATTCTTTAGTTTACCTGGAGATCTATGTCTGATTATCGAGTTTATGATAAGAACGAATCACTCTTTTCAGAATAGGGTGACAAATGAAAGTTCAGGTTTCATAAAACGTATCAAATTGAATTATGTTGCACAACAATTTAATCTGTACTCGATTGATATTCATCCATATGCGGAAACTCAGGACGGCCTAGAATATGCTGTGTTCGTTAATAAGTCTAGTTTAGTTGTAAATTTTATGTTTCTGAAACCATTCGATACTCCGGTCTGGATTTCTGTAACAGTCTTAGCCATTGTCTTATCGATTCTTTTAGGGTGTTCTGTTCCAAAAGGAGCGTCTCCTCAACTGGTCACTAGCCTATTTTGGACGATTAGCATATTTCTGAACCAAGGGAACCACATTTTTGAAAATGAAGTGAAGAAAAGAATCAAAGTCGGCTCTTTCCTGATCGCTACGTGGTCATTGATGATGATAATTTTATCTAATTGTTATACCGATTTGCTATACTCGTTCTTAATGAGGGACGTGAAAGCTAGCCTGCCAAGTGATTTTGTAGCACTTTTGAACGTCCCGGGTGTCAAAGTTTACACATTTCAGAATGATCAATATGCCACATCAGTGGATAAATTAATCGAAGATGTTCCACAATTGAGGAATATTAAGATTCAGACAGTTCCAAATGCTAGTGATTTATCTTTATTCGACGGTTCGATTGTCTCGCTAGCATACCTCGGAAATGTCGGAGGTATCAAAATTTCAGAAACATTCGTTATTCTTCAAACCTCTTCAAATCTGGAAACCTTTACAACCTTAATTAAGGAAACTAGGAGATTCGAGCACCTCAAAAACGATGATTTTTACCTGCTCGGTGAAAGATCTGGGTGGATTTCTTCTCGAAATTGGGTTGGTAAAATGTTAGGAAATATGCTGCGGAAGATTTGCGAGTCTGGAATTTATTCAACTTGGAAGAATCGTTGGTACACTTTCTTTAACAGAGCTGGATTATACGTGGTGAGGCAGGGAATCAAAAAACATGACAAGGATGCCCAAGTGGGCAGTATTTTAACAGCAAGGAAAAAACCGTTGTCTTGGAAAATGATAAAGATGCACTTCGAACTACTCTCAGTTAGTCTAGGTATTGCAGTTGTAGCACAGTTTGCTGAGGTTGCATGGTTTGTGAATCTCTCAGGATATTTTACGGAATAACTAATAAGTATCTATTGGAGGTTTTGTGGCAGGTTCTCGTAAAAAAAATTACTCGCAAAGCACAAAGGATGAACGTGAAAGACCTTCGTAAATAGACTTTCGTAAAGGTTTTCAAACAACATTCTCGATTTTCCTTTACTCCATAGCGGGGCTAATTATTCAAGGTATTCGGCATATTTACTTTTAGACTTTAGTACATACTTCTAACAAATATTAGAGGTTACCAAATGTATGTATGTAAATTTGTCTAAAGTATGTAAGTAGAATTTTAACCATACAGTCTGATAACGTAATTCGAATTATGAACATACCTACATATCTCGTTATGTATCTTGTCTGTTCCTGATTCTTAAAATAAAGCATTGGTATATATATTTACCAAGCCATGTAACAAAGGGTTTTCGGGGATGTCCTAAAAAATTTCGCTACTTACGATGTTTACCTTTATTATTTGAATACTTGTGTTCAAGATTTGCTAATCCTAAGCTGATGCATGGATTGAAATTTGGAACAATGACCGCAGCACAGTCCGATTTAAATAATATTCATGAGTGAAGCATCATACATTCCTAAATCTTAACGAAACATTCATATTAAAAAAAATGATCCAACATCAGTAATTAAGTCCAGTCGGCTGACATGGACTCGACTTATTTATGTGTGATTTAGAGACATACAGTCAATGGAACAAGTATTGGCAACACTCACACAAGCTAAATAAAATTGGCTATAACTTTGGCATGCATTATCAAGTTAGCATGAAAATTTGTACGCATTTAGCAAATCTAATGTAGTTTTCGAATATAATCATGTTTTACTGATTAAAATTAGATTAACCACTTCACCCCAGAGAGACGAATATTTTCATACCTTTCACCCCTAGTAACGGCGAATTTTTTCTTCCGTTGACCCCGCAATTTTCACCTACTGCATAACGTTAATTACTGGGAGATGAATTGAAAAATGCTGTTCCCACCGGAATTATTCTGGACATGTTTTTATGAAAGTTGATGCGAATAACCATTTGGGCACGGATTATGAGTTGTAATTTGCCTTTGTGTATTTTTGCGAACCACTAATATTTATAGCCGAAAATAGCCAACACGCCAAATTTAAAAATGATTGCAATTGCATGGAAAGTTACACAAACATTGATTAATACGTGCATAATAGTACATATATTCGCAAAAATCGATTATCGCGCCTCAAGGGCCCCAGAAGCCGATTTGGGTGGGAAAATTAAACATAGCAAATATCGCTTTCAATTCGTGACATCGGCTATAAATAATTTTGTGATTAGACTAAAATGTGTAAAAATTGCTTCTTGTACATCTAACATGCATAGAATTTACGCATACTTAGGGCGGGAAAACAAACGTTTTCCTACAGTGGCTTTAAATTGATAGCACTGGTAATGAATAATTATAGCATCAACCGTTCGAAACCATACTTTAGCGCATTTTGAATATAACTCAATTTTAACGGGAAAATTATATGCTACTTTCTAGGTAATCTCTTAATTTTCCCGCCCAACGAGATTTCATCGGCTACAGTGGTTAGTTTTCCCGCCAAAAATGTCGGTGGGGCGTTCTAAATCCGAGAAAAACAATTTCACTAATTTAATCTGAAAGCGCTGTTGAAATATGGGACAAAAATTCCATGCAACAGCAGTTTTCAAAACTAGGCGTGTTAGCTAGAAATAGCCAGTTGGCTATAAATTGTTTTTACCTCCCTTTATAATATTGGTTCCGAAGAGGCAATTCGTCTTCCCGCCCAAATGGCGGATTTTTGACTCATAACTATACTTGGAAGAGCAATGCCCTAATTTTTTTTTCTGGATACGACACATAGTCGTATGCCGGTGGGAACGGAAAATACGCCACATAGTCGTTCCCGTTGTCAAGGGTCAATACGACACATCGTCGTATTTCGGTGTAAAGGTCAAATACGCCACATAGTCGTTATAGGGGCGAAGTGGTTAACGCAGTTTTTAAATAATTTGCTGGAAAATTTGTGAAATTAACCCACACAAAGTATTGGCACCGTCTAAGTTAAAAAATCATAGAGCAACGAAACGCCAATTTTACTGCGACAAAGTGCTTCTAGTATTACGTGGCACCTCCCCTCGACGCAATAAGAGCAGAAATAGGCTGTGGAATTTATTCGGCAAGTTCCTATATAACGTTTTTTTATATGGCTGCCCACAGGTATTTTAAACTTTTGACAAGCTCGTTTTTCGACTAGTGGTTTCCCATCGGTCTCTCTTTTC